TATGATATTTGTTATTTAATTAATAAAAGAGTTTATTCATCATTTTATGTGCATATATTTATGAATATTTTATGAATATCAAATGAAAATTCCGTGATTATTTATGTAACTTTAAACATAGTATATAAGTGTTATATACAAGAGGATAGTGTTTAAGGATAATAATCAAAAATATTGTTCATAATGAATTTAATTAAAGTTCAGAATCTTTAATTAAAACATTATTAATACATGTCATTCCCATTTAGAATGGAACGGTGCTATCCGCACTGTCAATATGGTGAGATATTGAATGAGTGTATTTCGCATAATGAGATTGTGTGGAACAAGGACACAGACACAATATGAATTTCTAATAATTTCCGTTAAAGCATAGAAATTCTAATTGAGTTTACCGATGGTCATATATAGAATGATCTTAATCCTGAGTTCTTAACAAACTCCTATTTATGGATTTATGTCTTTTGATTTACTCGGTACGGATTCCGAGACCCTGAATCCTATTCCTTGTATTTTGGAGACATGATGAAATATGTAGCTGAGAATGTTATTATACGAGATGGAATCCATTCCTTCTTGAGAAAGAAGCAGATAAATAATTCTCTTGAGTGTTGATTCGGTACTTGGATTAGTAAGAGCGCTCTAGTTCATGAATGTGTTTTATGAATCACTATCTATTAGAGAATCAATGGTAATCAAGGATGAAGATATAATAGTTCAATTCCAAGCTTATAGTGGAGTAACTATTGGAATTAATATAATTAATTAATTAATTAAAGTATTTAATTAATTATTAATTTTATTGGAGCTCGGGATTATAGGTCCATTAGTCCCCACGTCGTCCTTGTAATTCTACCAGACACAAAGGGCAAAATGAGAATTTTAGAATTACGAAATTCTGAAATTAAATACTCGAAAAATAATTAATTGAGAATTAATTATTATTTAAATAATGTGATTATTTAAATTTGAATTTGAATTGTGAACATAATTTAAATTTATCCTTTTGAACTTATTTGATAAGTTGTTCAATTTATAATTCAAATTAATTTAAGTTTGACTTAAATTCGAATTTGAATTAAAATTAGACTACAGGATAAAGGATGAATTCTCTTCCTTCCCTATCTAGATTTGGCGCCACACACAGGGTTAGGAAACCCTAGGGTGGCCGGCCACTTAAGGGATAAGGTGTAGAAGATTTTTTGTTCCAAATTCAAATTGGAGATAGAGATTTGATCCATTTTTGAAGTTTGACTTCTACTCTTTAAATATGAGAATGATAGAAAATTGTGAACATAATTTTGAAAACATTTTTTCAGCCCTAATTAGTTAGTGTGGCCGAAATTCTCATTGGAGAGAGATAGGAAAAATATTCCTCCCAAAAATTCTACATCGTGCATGTGTTGGTGTTTGTGAAAAATCGAGTGTTATTGAAACCTGTTTTGTCTCACGTGTGCCCACACACACGTCTACGTGGAATCAAGGAATCGACGTGGAAGACTTTGATTTTCTAAACACAAAGCTTGGAGCAAGGACTATTCGTGAACAAAGAACTCAAGTTATCATCCGAGTCGGCTTCCAGGTATTTTTTCTGATTGAGTTCTTGATATATATAAATTAATGTGATTAATTTATTCGTGCATAAATTAATATAATCTATAGATTATCTCAAAAGTTTTTCTAAAATTTTTGTTATACACGATCCGCCTCCCCGCCACGCTTCTGCATCCGAATTCGATTCGGTTTCCAACACATTCCTCTAGAAGAACAAACTTATAGTCATCACAGATGAGAAAAATGTTCATGTTACTTTTCCATTTTATATAATTACCATCCAGTTTTTCAGCCGCGAGTATATGTTGTTGGTTTTGAAACTGATTTTCTATGCGGAAGCGTGTATCTAGCAGATCGTGTATAACAAAAATTTTAATAAACCTTTTGATATACTCTTTAGAATACATTAATGTATGAACGAATAAATTAATCAAATTAATTTATGAATAAATTTATCTAGCGAACGATTAGGTCAATAACTTGAGTTCTTTGACCATGAACGTTCCTTGCTCCAAGCTTGTTTAGAATACCTGAATGTTACTCATCAATTCCTTGAATCTATGAAGACGTGTGTGTGGGCACACCTAAAATAAAATGAGATTAGCACTCAAACACTCAAGTTTTCTACGAACACTAACACATGCACGATGTGAAATTTTAGGAGAAAATTTTTTTTTTCCTCACTCTGTAAAACCAGCCACTATATGCTAGGGAGAGTAAAAAATTGTGTTCTCTAATTTTCTATAATCTCATATTTAAAGAGTAATAGTCAGACTCCCAGAATAAGTCTAAATTTTATTTCCAAGATAAAGCTTAATAATTATCTCCCACTTCTAATTGATTTTGAAAACAAAATCTCCTCTCTCTTATTCTATTGGGTTGGCCACTACAAGTATATTCCTCACTGTGGTTGGCACAAATTACAGATAGGGAAGGAGAAAAAATTCTTCTTTATCCTACAGTTCAATTTTGACTCAAATTTAAATTTAAATTTAAGTCAAACTTAATTTAATTTGAATTTCAATTGGATAACTTATCAAATAAGTCAATTGGATAACTTAGAGAGCAAGCAACTGAATCCCAGAGAGATTCTCATAGTGCTGGACGTGTACACCATATGAACTCCTCTATATGTGTGTTCTAAAATTCAAATTTAAATAATAACATTATTTAATTTATATTAATTCTCCATTAATTATTTTTAAGCATTCTATTTAGAATTCTATAATTTTAAAATTTCCATTTTACCCTTAGTGTTTTGTAGGATTACAATGACGATGCGGAGACTCTTATACCTATAATTTCAAGCTCCAATAAAATTAATAATTAATTAATACTCTTTAATTAATTAATTACTTCTATTAATTCTAAAAGTTAATTCACTATAAACTTAGAATTACACTTTCATAATTATATATATAATTTACTTTTAAACTGTGAAGTGTCCATTTGATATAGCGATAACATATAGATCAATCCTCTATAAATAATTCATAATTAGAGCTAGGTGAAATCCGTTAACCTCTCTAATTACATTTTTATCCTTAAGTACTATTGATTCTCTAATGGACAGTGATTCATAAAATAAATTCATGAATCAAAGCTCCTAATAATGTAAGTACCGAATCAATTCTTAAAAGAATTATTTATCTACTTCTTTCTCAAGAATGAATGAATTCCATCTCGTACATTAACATTCTCAGCTACCTACTTCAACACGTCTCTAAAATACAAGGAATAAGATTCAACATCTCAGAATTCATACCGAGTAAATCAAAAGACACAAATTCATAAATAATAGTATGCTAATAACTCGGGATTAAGATCGTTCTATATATGACCATCGATAGACTCAATTGAAATTTTCATGCTTAACGAAAATTATCAGAAATTCATATTGTGTCTGTATCCTGGTTCTACATAATCTCACTATGCGTAATACATTGATTCAATATATCGCTATATTAACAGTGCAGATAACATTGTTCCACTCTAAATGAGATTGACATGTATTAGTAATGTTTTAATTAAAGACTCTGAACTTTGATTAAATTCCTTACGAACATCATTTTGATTATTATCCTTAAATATTATCCTCTCGTATATAACGCTTATATACAATATTTAAGATCACATAAATAATAATGAAATTTTCACTTATATTTATAAAATATTCATTAATATATATGCACATAAAATAATGAATAAACTCTTTTATTAAATAAATAATAAATATTCTATTGCATCTCATACTTTTAGGACATAATTCTTAACATATGTATTCTCCATTATCCACTTGCTTGTTGTACACACAATTGTGATGATCAAACCTACGAAGACCCTTTGATCATAAATTGATCAAGTCTCTTATAGATGTGGGGACTATTGAAGTTCATGCAAAGATTTTCTTTATGCTATGTTTGGTAGGATCAATGATGAAAAAGAAGAAGCAAGACAGTGGGCAGGGGAGGGATTACTAGGTAGAAAATGATAAAGTGAGTTGTTTGGTAAAAAGAAAGAAATGAGGGAATGAAAAATAAGGTGGATAAAAGTTATTGTGGGGCCCACCAATTTTATCCTCCAACATTGGGTGGAAAACTTAAATCTACTCATTGATGCTAAAATAATTTTTTTACCTCTATTTTAAAGCTAAATTAATATTGAATAATTGGTAAAACAGTTATTTAGCCTATTACATATTTTCTTTCCTCTTATCATTCCAAACAACATAAAAGAAAATCAACTCCTTTCATTTTCTTCACATTTTCTTTCTTTTATGTGTTTTCTTTCCATTCTTTTTTATTTCCCTCTTACCAAACACTGTGTTAGTAAGCAAATTATGTTTTTTTTCCCTTAGTCTTGAAACCCTTTTGGATGACTCATGTGAAAATGTTATATTATGGTATAAAGGACGTGTGTATGCTAACAACACCTTATTGAACAATTTATTTCAAAAGTAATGTATAAAACAACCCACTGACTTAGATTTTACCGAAAAAAAGACTCGTATCTTTTATCTAATTATTGTATCACAATTAGTGTCTAACTAATCATATCATGTCACGTTGTGTAAAAATTTATAGGTTTTTAACTAATTTTTGTGTGCTTATTATGAAATAATTTAATATAATTTGATTGGTTAGACACCGTTTAGAACACCAAGAATTAGACAAAAAATCTGGATCTATATAGACAACATCTTGACTAAACGACATAACCTATGTAATCAAATCTCAATAAACGACACGTTATACAAAAACAACATAATATAAGAACGATTGTCGTACAACGGATTCACAAAAACGACATATTTTATAAAAACGACAGATTATGAATACGACTGGTACTGAAACTTCCTAGGGGTCGCGTCGTTTCTCTATCTCTCCTGTCTGAGCGAACTCTCTCTCTCCACGTCGATCGAAGTCGAACTTCCCATACCCAAAGCCCAAAACCTCTCTCTCTCTCATCAGTCTCATCTCTCAGGCTATACGCCGACGCACATGAGTTCCGCTCCTCCGCCGCACCCAGTATCACCAACCCCCACTCTCTCTCCTCTCCCTAAACTTCTCTCGCATGAGTAGTCTCTCTGCTCAATGATCCTCTGCGCGAGAGCTTTTAAAGCTTGCGCTTTCGCTCTCGCCGCCGCCACCACCAACAAACCTTTCTCTCTCTTCAGGGTACGCCTTCTCTTCCCTCTCTTCTCTTCCTTAGCTGCTAACTATCCCACCACAACCGCAACAACCAACGGAATAGCCCCAGTACTCTCCGAAACCCATTACAGAGAACTCATAATCTCCGCCATTGAAGAAAAGCCCTGGGCTTTCTCCAACCCCAACTGGGTCGTCCCCGACCACCAGCTCCGACCCGTCATTCTCGATCCCTATTTGTTCGCCCGAGTCCTACGTTCGATTCGTGAAAAACCCAGAATCGCCTTGCGGTTCTTCCGATGGGCGGAGGGCCAACCAGAATTTCGCCGCTCCGAGTTTGGCTTCTGCGCGATTCTTGAGATTTTGGTCGTTAACAATTTGATGAGGTCTGCTTTTTGGGTTGCTGAGAGAGCGATTGTTGTGAATAATATGCACGGGATTGTGGATGTTTTGATTGGTGGGTATGTTTGTGATAAGGTTTCTATTAAGATTCTTGATTTGGTGTTGTGGGCTTATACGAAGGAATCCATGATTGAGCAATGTCTTAGTGTTCTTGACAAAATGGTGAGAAATGGGTTGTTGCCTGATGTCAAGAATTGTAATAGGATTTTGAGAATACTTAGAGATGCGAATCTTGTATCTAAGGCTAAAGACGTTTATAGAACGATGGTTGAGTTAGGAATTAAGCCCACAATTGTTTCTTATAATACTTTGTTGGATTCTTTCTATAAAGAAGGAGAGCTTCAACAAGCGCTTGAACTTTTGATCGAGATGCAGAAGAGCGGGTTTGTTCCAAATGAAGTGACTTATAATGTGTTGATTAACGGTTTGTCGAAGCAAGGGGAGTTTGAGCAGGCCAAGGGACTAATTGGGAAGATGTTGAGGTCGGGATTAAGTGTTTCCGCTAATGCATTTAACTCTTTGATTGCTGGTTATTTCAAGAGAGGATTGCTCAACGAGGGGTTGGGTGTTGTGGAGGAGATGGTGAAGAAAGGCGTCTCCCCTACAATAAGAACTTACAACACAATTATTTCCGGCCTCATCAAATGGGGAAGGATGGGTGATGCGAGCTGGTGGTATTTGGATATGTTGGAGAAGAAAGTGATGCCGGATATAATCACATACAATAGTCTGATATACGGGCATTGTAGGTTGGGAAGAGTGAGGGATGGTTTCCTCTTGTTTGAAGAGTCGAAATATAGGAATCTTGTTCCTACTATTGTTACATATAATACTCTTATTGATGGGTTTTCCAAATCGGGGGACTTGGAGACTGCTTGGCGTCTCAAGGAAGAGATGGTCGATCGAGGACTTCACCCTGATGTTGTTACGTATACCATCCTGATAAATGGATATCATAAGGCTGGGAATTTACAAATGGCCAAGGAGATTTATGATACCATGTTGAAAGAAGGTATAAAGCTAGATAAGTATGCATACAATACTCTAATAGCGGGTGAACTGAGGCTCGGGCATCCATCTGCAGCATTTAGTTTGCAAGAAGAGATGCAAGCGAGTGGTTTCTCTCCTGACTTGATCACTTACAATATCTTTGTGAGTGGAATGTGTAAACTGCGCAGTTTGGAAGAAGCGTATCAGTTATTTGAGAATATGGTACGTGACGGTATCGTCCCTGATCACGTAACATATACGAGCATCATTCATGCTCACTTGGTAAGTGGGCATCTCAGGAAAGCCAGAGCAGTGTTCTACCATATGTTAAACAAAGGAGTGTCGCCTACGGTTGTAACCTATACGGTAATGATCCATGCGCACGTAGTTATGGGAAGACTAGAACTCGCATTTATGTATTTTTCAGAGATGCAGGAGAAGGGTATTTCGCCAAATGTGATCACGTATAACTCTCTGATTTATGGTCTTTGCAAAGGTGGGATAATGGATCTGGCTTACAATTTCTTTTTTGAGATGGACGGAAAACAAATACTTCCGAACAAGTATACATACACTATTCTAATAAACGGAAACTGCAACATGGGCAGTTGGCAGGAGGCCATCAGCTTGTATAAGCGAATGCTTGATAGAGAAATTCAACCCGATTCTTGTAGTCATAGTGCCTTTTTCAAACTATTGAACAAAGACTACAAGCGGCAGGCGATTGAGTACCTCGAGAATAAAGTTCTAGCTAGTGAAGAAACTGTACATTCAAGGACTTGAAAAATGGTGTTCTCGGTTTCTAAGATGAATTGCAAGAAGGACGTGTAGTGGTATTTGTCACCACCAAACCGAAGCTGCTCCATCACCAACTGGGCAAATTTTTTAGATGATGCTGTAAGATTTCTTCCTTGGTTTCGGCTATGAGTAATCTGATCTTTTGCTCGTTTTTTGATGACTCGTTTAGTTCATAGATTTGAATAGAAATTCAAATTTTGTTTATATTTTTGTGAACAAACAAAGGCTTGTTTGTCTAACTCTTGATTATGATGGCTTGCAGCAGATGGGCTCTGAAGGAAGGCTGCTAAACGGGTGAGCCGTTTTTTGCCTCATTTTTGTTTCATGGCTAACTGCAATTGGATTTACTTGAAATTGTTAGTTGGATTGGATAATTCATTATACCTAAATAACGGAATCAAAGTTTTACAGTGAAGAGTCAATAAGGGGTATGCAGATATATTCCACTTTGTCAAGTTGCTTCAAATAAATTTCCCATCTATTTATTCATTCTTTTAACAATTCTTTTTGGAAAGAGGGAGAGTGGAAGGAGGAAAGGGGTATGTACCTTCTTCATGTATGATTATGTTCAAAGGTAAAAACTTTGATGTATGGTCCGATGTGGTCCTATGCAAAGCTGTATAGATTACATTGACCCATATAATGAAAATGTCATAGAGATCGATATTTGTCACAACTCACAACTAATGTTAGGTGTTAATTTATTATTATTATTATTATTATTATTATTATTATTATTATTATTATTAAAATTGTTATTATTATTATTTTGTGAATTTAGGTCACTAGTCTTTTATTGTTCATTCTATGTAAACTAATTTTTTTCTAAAAAAATATTCATATATTTATATTATTTTAATTAAAAATTTAGTAAATCCAGTTAATTCGAGGCAGTTTCATGTCAATCTTGTTAGTTATTTCGTTCTGGTTTGTGTCGTGTTGACTTGATAGTGAAGATTGGAATCTGTTTTTCGTTACAAAGTTTGACCCTTGTCATCTTCTAATCTCCTTCATTTGCAAGCCATACCCTTGTCAATTGTCATCTTCTAATCTCCTTCATTTGCAAGCCATACTTGTTTATTAGCATTTCAAGAAAATAGCAATTTGTGAAGTGAGAAAGGAAAGCGGATACCCCAGTCATCTTTGAAATTTACTTATTTACTGAGTAGAGCTTAATACTCTTGTCTCGGGTTTTTGCTCATCCTTCGCAATCGTACCTTGCCATTTTTACTTGTATCTATGCATTGTTGCTGCATCGTTTGATCTTTTATGTGCCTCATTTTCAGAAGTAACTTGGCTCTTCCAAATACAGAGATCTTTAAGTTTTATAGACCTGACGAGGAGGGGAAATTGAAAACATCTAAAGTTTAGGGTATAAAAAACAAAAATTAATTTCCACATATAGTTTTTTATTTTCATTGTTTTTAATTTTAGTGCTTAATTTACATAGATTCTCTCAAATATTTAATACTTAATGTGAGAGCTTTTTACTGTAATAAAAAAATTAGATATGATTGTTTGTGAGAACTTTTTACTGTAGTAAAACTCGAATCATCGAAATGAACGGAACCTTAGTTAACGAAAATGTTAAAACTGAAATAAAATAAAATTTCAGGGCATGACTGGACACACGAGTGAGTGGGGGCACGTGCTCACTGACTTTTTTTTCTATTTCTTTTACTTTTATACTAAATACAGAACAATGCAGCAAAAATCGTTTAAGCGGTGCCCCCATTGATTTACCATTCTCCAGATATTAGACTTATTTTTTTCATTTTACCGATTTGAATTAGGAATTTGAGTTTATTTACAGTAAAAAGTTCTCAGAAATAATCACATCTAATTTTTTTATTACAGTAAAAAATTCACATCGCAATTTAAATTAAAAACTCCAATCATCAAACTATTTTAAACTTTTTCTCTCCCCAAATTGGTAGACAACGTTCATTATTACCAGTTAAACTCTCGCCCTTTTTAAATTTCCAATACATTTTTTTCTTGTCAAAGAAAAAAAATCATTTATTTCCTTTTTATCATAAACAGTCATTTATGTTCTTTTGACTAGGAAAAACAAATAACACTTTTGTTCTCAAAGCTAGACCTGTTCGATTCGTTAATTTGAATTTTTAATTCGAGTTGAGATGTGATGTTGTGTGAGAGTTTTTTACTGTAGAAAAAAGTTAGATGTGATTGTTTCTGAGAGCTTTTTACTGTAGCAAAACTCGAATTCTAAACTCGAATCAGCGAAAAGAACGAGGCCGACACTCTGTGCCCAACTGCCCTTTTTAATTACCGTTTCTCAATATATTTTTTCTTTAAAAAAAAAAAGAGAAAATTTACCTATAAGAGTATATGAGTCTGGACTTTTACTTTTTACTCTTAATAAATACCTTTTTATTAGTGTAATTATTTGATTAAAAAGGTTATGAATTAAGAGTAAAAGATAAAAATTCTGACACATATTTTTAAGAAATATTTGTCAAAATTACTTTTTTCTTTTCTTTTTTTTTTCCCCCTTTGTATAATACCCTCTCTCAATATATACTAATTACTTCTATTTCTATTTACTTCTTTCATTCACTCTCCTCAAAATACCAACCGTCATTCGTATCAGTGTTATTTCTACTCGTCTCCACCTTCTTGATTCTCATTAATAGATTGATAAATACGATTGTATTCATATTTTATTCTTTAAATTCATAATATTAATAAAATATGTATAATAATCATATCAATCTTATAACAACAAAAAGAATAGTAATGTGAAAACCGGTAGGAGACAATCATAATATGTTGCTTCAATATAAATTTTACTAATAATAATATTATTATAAATTTTAATAAAATTATTTTTCTGCATTTAGTATATAATTTTTTCCTCACTTGTGACCTTACTGAAATGAAATTCTAGATACGTCACTGCCTTAATGACCAACTATAAGATGTTTTAAAAGTTAGAGATTAAAATAAGATTGAAAGTAAATCTTAGGAACCATTTGTAGTTGGCCAGGTTTATTTTGAGATATGAACTTGGTCCGGGTTGCCAATCTTCCAACTAGATTCACAGCTGAATTGAGCTCCTCGGTTTTCATCCCTTCTTTAGACGAGGTAGAGAGAAAAAAAAGAAGGCTAGCAAGAACATTTGAAATTTAAGGCGGTAAAAAGAGGAAGGAAAGAAGATGCGCATTTCTAGAGCTGAAAGTTTAGATCGAGTCAAAAATATCAGTATGAGGCCCATCATTTTAGCCTGAAGCTAGTCCAAACTACGTGGCATAAAGACTCAAACTAGGCTAAGGTTGTTAGGAGTATTGTCCTTAAAGCATAAGATATAATAAAGATATTTATTATTTAATTAGTTAAATAGTTTATTTACTATTTAGGTACATGTATTATTGAATACTTTATGAATATCATTGAAAATTTTGTGATTATTTATGTGACCTTAAATATTATATATAAATGTTATATATGAGAGGATAATATTTAAGGATAATAATCGAAACAATGTCGTAATGAATTTAATTAAAGTTTCATAATCTTTAATTAAAACATTACTAATACACATCATTCTCATCAAGAATGAAACGCATCATTAATATAGATGGATATTGAATTAGTGTATTATGCATAATAAGATTATATAGAACTGGGACACATATACAATTTGATTTTCTAATAATTTCCTTTTAAGTATATAAAATTAAATTTGAGTCTATCGATGATCATATATAGAATGATGTTAATTCTGAGTTATTAGTAGACTCATATTTATGGATTTGTGTTTTTTGACTTGATATGGATTTCAAGATTCTAAATCATATTCCTTGTATCGTAGAAACATGATGAAATGAATAGCCGAGAATGCTAATATACGAGATAAAACTCATTCATTCTTCTTTGAAGAAGTAGATAAATAATTCCCTTGAGGGTTAATTCGGTACTTAAATAAGTAACGAGCATGTATTCATGAATGTGTTTTATGAATATATCATTCATTAGATAATCAATAGTACTTAATGCTAAAGATGTAATTAGAGAGGTTAACAGATTTTTACCTAACTCTAATTATAAATTATTTATGGAGGATTGATCTACATGTAGTGACTATATCAAATGGATACTTCAAATTTTTAGAAGTAAATTATGTCTATACTTTTGAGAGTGTAATTCGAAGTTTTTAGTGGAATAACTTTTAAAATTAATATAATTAATTAATTAAAGAGTTTAATTTAATTATTAATTTTATTATAGCTCAGAATTATAGGTCCATGAGTCCTCGCATCATCCTTATAATATTTGCGAGACAAGATGAATTATCAGGATTTAATATCACTCGAAATAAATAATGTGATTATTTAATTTAATTAATTTTAAAACACACTGTGGTGGGACCACATGAGATCACACCCCTAGGCACAAGAAGGTGCAGGGAGTGTGTGACACATGTAGAATCCCGCCGGGATTCAGTTACTTGCTCTCCAAGATATCTAGTTTACTTGTTTGATAAGTTTTCTAATCAAATTCAAAAGGAAAGTAAAGCATGACTTTATTTAAATTTGAATTTCAGCTAAAATTAGAAACTAGATAAAATGATGAATTTTCTCCCTCCTTTACCTGCAGATTTGCGCCAACCACATGGAGGTCTCTTTGTGGTGTGGCCAGCCATGTCGTAAAAAGAAAGGAGAAAATTGTTTCTAAAATTAAATGAAAAACTGTATTTTAATGAGATTAAAATGTAGTAATAACTAATTTTTTATTATTTTTTTCTTTAAGTTAAAGTAAATGGGTTATCCTAATGTTCTATAAATAGGAAACAATAAAAAATTGGAGAAGATAATTTTTGCTCTCTAATTTTCCTAAGGTAGCCAAATTTTAGAGAGAGAAATAGAAAAAAAGCTCTTTTAATTCTTAGTTTCTTCACATACATGCGTTGATAGTAAAGAAATACAAATTAGAGAGTGATCAAATCATATAGTTCTATATTAGAACTCATACTTTAGATCTTACAGATTTTAAAGACTAGACGAGAAAGATTTGAGTTTTCAAGAAAGCTTAGAGCTTGGACTGTTTGTTGTTAAAAACCTCAAGTTATATGTCTAATCATTTACTAAGTATCTATGTTCATAAATTAATATAATTAATTTATTATTCTATAAATTAATAATATTTTATAGAATATTTAAAAATTTTATAATAATTTTTATTATACACGCTTCCACATAACATTTCGAAAACCAACAAAGGTTGACTTTTGAGCCTGCCTTTTCTGTAAAGAAAAACACAAATGCCGTATATAACTTCCAATTGATATGGGCTATCCTTCTCCTCACTTGGGCTAGCTTGACCCAACCATCCGTATCATCGTGTTGGGTCGGGTGACCCGAATTTACATCTCTACACTCATGCATTAACTGCTAAAAAATTTGCCGCCATTTTGACTCTTTAAATAATAATAATAATAATGATGATGAAGATGAAGATGATGGTGATGATAATAGCAACAACAATAATAATAATAATAATAATTGATTGATGTAGGGAGTTCAATTTTAGTATGGAACCTAGCAACCTGTGAGTGTAAGTTATGACATGGCACCAACTCTTTAAAGGTCTTTTTGATGGGTAGTTTGTTCATTTTGAAAACACCTTTATTTATAGTCAGTTTTATATATTTTTGGATTTATTTTACCATTTCTTTGTGATTTCCGTTATAAAGTGTTGATAGCACTCCACCTATCAAGTGAAACAGTTGTCTCGGTCAGAAACGTGATATTCAAGTTGCACTGCCTACTAGGCTTAAAGTCATAGGACTGGGGAAGCTAAGCTACTTCTGAGGAGAAAAGAAAGTGACTTCTAAGGAGGCTCGCAACTTGATTAGAGAAAGGCCACTCGCCGGTTCATTTCCTATAGCGAATCCATTTCTAATTTATGATAAAAATCACAAGTTTTAGGGGTTATTTTTTTGTAACAAAACTCAAAAAAACTTAAAATTAAGTTACAATTTTATTTAAGTTCACATTTTTTTAAGTTTTAATTTTATTCAACTTTATTCAAGTTACAACTTTAACTCAAATTTAACTCAAAAATTACACTCAAATCACACTCTAAAAGAACAACTCCTTAATATCGTGTCATCTCAATTCAAAGGTAATTTTTTTTTAAAAGACATTCTTTAAAATTTCTCTATTTATTGAAATCTGGGCTAGATTGAGACGCTGCGTGGGCTGTCCCGTGCAGTCTTATTTGGACTTGTCCAAACCACAGTTAAAGAGTAATTTTTAAGACTACCTTTTTAAATAGAATCTTTTATTTTTATCCATTAACATTAATCAATAAATTTATACCTTTTAGATTTAAAATAGTTAAGGGGGTAAAATTTTTTTTAAAAAAGGTATTTTTAGTAAGTACGTGAGAATGTAGAATTAGTTAAGAAACGTTTGGTTCATAAATTAGAATCATAAAATTAGAATTATTTTTAATTTATGTGTATTTTTTATGAGAAAAAATACTATAACGAATTATGAACTATGATTCGAATCGGAGTACGAATCTCTTAACTAAATAACCCCTTAAATACATTTATTTTAAAAATTCTATCTAATTTAAATCATAATTTTCAATTTTATTATAATATTTGTTCTTATAAATGATAATTTTAAACTTATAAATCAAACATTACCTTAATTTTCTCTAGCTTTTTCTCTCTCTTTATGCTGCCTCGTTCACTTCGTAAATTTAAATTTTTAATTTAAATTAAGATGTGATATTTTTTAAAAATTTTTTATTATAATAAAAAAAATTAGATGTTACATTTTTTAAAAATTTTTTAATATAAAAATTTAAAATTGAAAACTCAAATCGTTCGTCAACGCGGATGGATTGCGGAACATATCGTACTGGGCGTCAGACCTGGCCCAAAACTCAGAAGCACGTGGACTGAAACTTGAGACTTCAGAGTTTTTGGTCCAACTTCGGAGGAGAATCCCAACGAAGAATCTACTTCCTTCCGAATGCAAAGATATTTGTTTAATTTAATGTAATTTAATTTTTATTGTTCAAGTTACCAATCCAAGTTCACAGAAAACCTGCATAGCCTATCTATCTGGCCAAATCTCCCGCCAAAGAAGCAGCTTCATTTCAGAGATGTTTAGGAATTAATAAAGCTTCAGTTAAAACCAAAAATGGCGGCCTCCGAGTTGCTCTCTACGCGGAAGCTATTTTCCCCTAAGCTGTTTGGATTCCTCGGAGCTTCAATCATTAATGGCGGCGCCGGAAGGCCGATTTCGTTTTCAGCTTCGTCGTCTTCATCATCGCCATTGGAGAATCTAATCATAAGAGCAAGAATTCTAAACACGGCATTTCAGCAACAGCGCCAACACAGATTCTTCTCCGTGCGGTGCTCGAACTTCGGAAAGGGATTTCTGGAATTGTCGGACGAAGAGCTGTTGCGCCAGTGCGAGATGGACACTTTCAAGGCCTCGGGGCCCGGCGGACAGCACCGCAACAAGCGGGAGTCTGCTGTTCGCCTCAAGCACCTTCCTACTGGCGTCATTGCGCAGGTTTGGCTCTGTTTCCTGCTTTCTCTGCCCGCATTGCTTAGAATTAGGGCTAGGGTTTGGGTTTGAGTTTCAATTTTTGATCTTTTGGTCTTGATCAGGCTGTTGAGGACCGATCACAACACATGAACCGTGCTTCGGCTTTGACACGCCTTCGTACGCTTTTAGCTCTCAAAGGTATGCGATTTTCGATTCTCTTTAACTCTCTATGTTTTCGATTTTGTCGGCCATTTTCGAAAGCTTGTGCAATCAATTAATTGATTAGTTAATAATAATGTTTCTCTGCAATTTGAAAGAGCTGTATATACCTTTGGCTTTCTTCCAATGTGTTGCCATTGGTAGAGCTAAAAATCTGTTTTTCGTATGTCGTGTGGAATAGTGAGGAATGCTGTGGATCTTGAAGCGTATTCACCTCCTAAAGAGCTGCTTCAAATTCTGCCTCCGAAGTCCACAATTAGAGGGTCAGATTGCGGTCCCCAAATTGGACCGAAAAATCCTAAATTTGTTTTGGTATGCATTTTTATCGTTTCCCATAATGTTCAAAAGAATGTTTTGAATAAATAAGCAGTTTGGGATTTTGGTGCTTCTTAAAGAATTTCTGATTCTGACAGTAGAAGCTAAAAGCTAGAAGTTTAGCTTTTCAAAACTGCTGTGAAAAGTGGTTGGATAACGTGCAACTCACTTTTAGAATGTTTCACAGAACAACTGCTTCTGAAAGTTGCTTTCCAATGAACAGATTATATGGGATAATATAATCAAAAGCAGGTTTACCAAGTGCTAATTGTTACCAAAATTCTTTGATAGTCACTTTAGGAGCTACAAAAGCAATCAAACTGATCCTACTTGTTTGCATCGTAATCAGCAAAGTGTAAGAGCACTTGATGTGAAATCCCTTTTTTCTTTTTTGTCAACTACAGGGAATGCAAGCTTTGTTGGATCTAATTTTTGCAGTTGGGGGTTCAGTATCAGATGCAGCAAAGTATCTTGGGTATAAAATTATATACTTCATATCCTATAGATTCTTTGTGCAAGCTAACAAGCGTATGCAAGGCACATTTCCTGTCTGACATATTATAATCTGGGGAAATGTGCCTAGAGTGTGAGGTAATTTTTGGATATTTTTATAGTTTAGAGTAAATAACAATAAAATGGTACCATATGTTATGACTCGAAAACTATTTTGGTGGTTCTATGTTTGAACATAAAGTTTGAACGGAAAATTAAACTTTCATGAGAGAAGATACTGTAGCTAAAATGCTTAAATTGTAGTTTAAATTGGTAAGAGAACATACTGTAGCTAAAGTGTTTAAATTGTAGTTTAAATTGCGAACCAAACGGCACGTACGTTCTTAGCTTATCTTAAGTACTTTTGTGCTCGTTCTTATTATCATCTATCAGATATGTGTGTGTGTGTAAACTTCCAACTGAAAGGGAAAAGAATAGTGATGGAACAGAGAAGGAAAAAGAATGAAAAGCGGATTACTTCTTCTGGCTTACTGATGCAAACTAGAATTTCCTTTCTATGCTCAACCAGTATAGCTGATATTTGATTGAATGCTCAAAATGTTAATCGACTTTGATATTATTGTACTGACTGGAAAATATATTGTACTTCCTTCAGGAAATGAAGTAAAGAAAATAGTTTGTATATGATCATTTTTCCACTTAACAGTGATCTCTACTGATATTGCAGGTTAAGCACAGGGGCATTATCCCGCTTGATACTATCTGATGATTCTCTTCGAATGGCAGTGAATGAATTGAGGGCTTCTAAGGTAAAACACCTTATTCCAAAGTTCTTTTGATTTGTCCTCAATTTGATGTAAGAAAATAAAATAAGATAAAATATAATAAAAATCTCCTTTTAACGAGTTTTATTCTTTTTCTTTTCCGCTTCATAATCAAACGAGGCTCTGATTTTTTAACATCACCGTATTTAGTGGCCTCTTAGTTACTTCACCGGATCTTTGTCGACTGTTGAGGCCATCTAATTACAATAATCTGCAGTTGATGTATTCGAACACTAATACAGACCTCAAAACTTCTGTGCAATTTGTGTGCAGGGCATGAAGCCTCTGAAATAGTTTCCGATAGTTCTTACATTTTTCAGGTACAATTTAGATTTGGTTTCCATTTCTTTCTCCTGTATGCTTGCAAGAATAGATGAGATCAGTATTCTAATAAAAAAACCTACAACCCCTAGCATCACTATTCTTCATAGTGAAGAGATTAAAAATATCTCTTAAAATTGCCATTGAGATCCAACACTATTCTTCCTTTTTGGGTGGGCTAAATGAGAATTCTTTAAGAGTCTGTTTGGTAGGAGAGAAAAGTGGAAGGAGACAAAGGGGGAGAGGATTAGTGGAAAGATTTTGGGACCTATGGTTATTTGGTGGGAGAGAAAAGAGGAGGGAATAAATTGGGTGAGGGATTTCAAATCCTTCAAAGAACCTTGAATCCTTCAAAGAACCTCAATTTTAATCCCCATAGATATGGAGAGATTAGAGGAGGGGATCCATACCAAACAAAATAAGAGAAGGGTCCTCCCCTTCTTAAGTTATGTCTCTCTTCCCTTCCTATTTCCCTTCCCTTATGCACAGGGTCAAAGTCTTTTTCTTGTTTTCATTGGAGCGAATCCAAAAGGCATTTCAACCATAATGACTTTGATCGTGTTAAGTCTCGCTTTTGCGTACTTAACAAGAAAAACAATGCTGAACAGGTGCTCCTGTTATGTCGTGTTTGCGAGCTACAGATGTGATGTGATGTAACCGTTTTTTCTTGTTTTCATTTGAGTGAATCCAAAAGGTATTTTAACCATAATGACTAAACAATGCTGAACAGGTGCTCCTGTTATGTCATGTTTGCGAGCTACAGATGTGATGTGAGTTAACCTTTTTGCCAAGAGAGATGAGATCGAATGGATCTTTTTCGTGCATGGGCTTCCACATGCACATTCTAATAATAAGTTCCTCTGTCTGTTGATCTTTGAAGAGAGCCAAAGGGATGGTGTTATTGCAAGTTTACTAAGGTTAATGGAAATTCTTTACCATCTCTCTTAATCGATTTTGTTATCAATAGGAGCTCGCTTTTTCTGTTTCTTTTTTTTTTTTTTTTTTGGGAAGATTTTCTGTTTCTCTTAATTCACAATTTAATTTCTATACAGATGTTAGGAAAGGATGTAAAAGATTCTTACGTACCAATTCTGTGGTGTCCAGTGAGGCGTCATTAGACATGGTCATTCTTCTACTTTGTTGTGATTTTTGTGCAGTTTTAAAGTTTAGCTTCTTTCCGTCGATGTAATGAGTAATTGGATTCATTTCATTTATTTTTTGGCCAATTTTGGTTAATGTTGTAAAGGTTAAATAGAGACTTGCATGTCTCGCAATTAGTCATCTGTCTTTTTTACAGTCATTTTGGTGGAAGTAATTTATTTATTGAGTATTTGGTGCTTTTACCTTTTGGAATTTTTTCTTTCGGTGCACAAGTTGCCGTTTGAATTTTTAATTTTGGTAAATCCCTTGAATTCAGTCGTGTTGCAAAGGGCCACAAAACGATGTTGACTGTTAAAATTTGGGGGAGACATCCTTGTGTACACCGTGTGAGCCCATTGAGAGGAAGAGACTGTAAATTTTGGATGATGATGAAGTGCATCACACAATGTGGTCCAAGTTTTATAGCAATCTTCAGTTTTTGGCAATGGGAAAAAAATTCAGGGTCTGTTGAAACCCCTTATTTTATCTGATAATTTTAGGACCTAACCTGCCGCTTTGTTACTTATCGGTATACGTTTTTTATTTTTTTGCTAAAGAATAATAATTATAACTTAGTATGCCAACAAGTGAACAGATCCTAATAGTCCATTTCAGAAAAAATAACGATAGTAACCTGTTTTAAAACTTGAGGGGATTTCTAGTGCATCTCCTAGGAATTATTTTCTTTTGTGTAGGTTTTTGCTTTATTTCTTCGTTTCCAACTTCAACTTTGACAACAACTTCCAATTCTTCTTTCAACACTTTTGTGCTTTAGTTAGAAATGGACCATGATTTTCCTTAATAATACAAGTGTAATATTTTTAAAGGCAACAAATTAAGGGATGCGGGTAAGGATTATTATTATTATTATTTCCCAATCCTTGGGATCAACAAGGTTAGCGTCTTTTTCACACTAATGGTTCAAATCATGGTGACGCGTGCGTGGATTTTCTTCTTGGAGTTAGATTGTCATCTTCGCTCTTTATAGCTTTTTCCATTATATTTTATATTGTCATAATGCAACCGACAGATTGAATAATCCACTAATTGTCATCATGAAATTTGTTTTATTAATAGTAATCTGAAGGAATATTTTTTATTTCACTTGTACATTGAAGGAATATTTTGGACTTCGCCAACAAATTAGTAAGTGGTCCAAAACCCAACATAGAAAAGATCGGGACTGACCTAGGTTACTACCCTTGTATTGATAAAACAAACTATTTCTTGTCTTTTTATGTTTTCAACGGCACCCAAAATTGGACTAAATCTTCCCTTAACTTCAAGAATTCTCTAATTTAACTTGTGTGTTTCACTTTCATACTCTAGCATTCCCATTCTTGTTTAGTCCATAACTTCCTGCATAATTAACCATCTTACGAGTCAGGACAATGCTATTAACATTACATGATTCCACAATTCAGACGAAAGATGTGGCCCTTTTCGTGTGCATGGGGATATACAATTAATCATATTGTTTCTGAGGCACAAGACATATTGTTGAATTATAACCACATGGTTGATTCCTTGGAATTCTGAATCCAAGAGAATCTAGATGTTAATTCACTGTAGCTGATATTTTTTAGAATCATTAGATCAGAGTAAAGTACTTCTATGGACATTGAAAATTGAAAAACGCAACTGTTTTGAACTTCTTTAAACCGGTGTAGACACAAATCACAATAGTAGCAAAGATAGTCCCGGATGTATGTTAAAGCTTTTCAATTTTTCGACATGGCAAAGTAAGAAGATTGAGTTTTGAAATTTATTTTCTCCTCAAAAGTTTTGAAGGATCAGTATGTCGGTGATGTTTCATAATTAATAGGGATAAAAATGAGACCAAGTACATATCTTCGTGCACTATCGGTTAAAAATAACTCTGACCAATAATTATGAGACTTCATCGCCATACTAACCTTTCTAAACTTTCACGAAAACAGATGGGAATCAAAAGTGCCTGTAAAATTTTGCAGACAGAATCTATTGCAGCTTCACTTTCCTAGAATATTCAGTCAAAGGTTTTTCATTTATTGTTTGAAAAAGTTTAGAGAGTTAGTTAACATGTTTGTTCTAACCACTTAACCAGAAACTTTTTAACTCCCTAAGTTTGGATTATTCGCAATATGAGCCCAAATTCGAAGAGCAAACGGACACACCCAATACCACGCCAAAAACTTACAAGGTATCGTCACCCCTTTTGTATTTTAATGGACACAAAAACTGCCAAAAAACCAATATTTTCGACTTATCTTGTCGATTACTTCTAAGTCACCATGTCTTAAAGTTGCAGCACATTTTTCAACACACAAAATTCCCATCTTTGTTATGCTCAGCTCTATAACAAAGCTCCCTAGTTTCGTCTCCTAACATTAACTCTCTCTAAGTTTGTTTCGACATTTCCGTCCCTGACTAATTATAAAAACCTTATCATCGCCATTTCTCTGTTCCAACTCCTCAAAAGTTATATTACTTAAACCAATGGCTGCTTTCTCATGTCCATCGTCCTATGTTATAAGGTGCTCTTCCAATAGAGATAATAATCATGATCAAAATATGAAAAATCTGAATAACATCAAGATCAGTGGGACTTCACCGAGTCCAAGGTCGGGTGGTAAGCCTGATATGCTGAGCCAAAAGACTGGAGCAGCCACCACTTCTGTTGCTTCCGTTACTAAAAATCACTCTCTCACTGCCGAGAGAATTCGACAGAATATCCCGACAAAGAAGCAGTTAGTTGATCCGTTTCGTCAAGGTCTCATCATTGAAGGCGGTGTCGGGTACAGACAGACGGTTGTTATTAGGTCCTATGAGGTTGGACCTGATAAAACTGCAACTATGGAGAGCGTCCTTAATCTTCTTCAGGTGCCAACTTTAACTATTTGACAACTTTATTATGTTGGAGGTTGAACTTTTTTCCAAAAGGGTATTAATCGTTACTGCGTTTTTTCCTAATGTTAGATATAATTGGTCATATAAAAATGAAAAAGCATGCCAAATTAACAGGATTTAATAAAGATATGACGGTTCAAAACACGTCTGTCAGTAGGGTATATTTGTACTATATGCGTAGCGAATCCTGCCTGTTCTTACAAGTGTTTTTTTGAGCATGTTGTGTAGGAAACAGCATTAAATCATGTATGGATGTCCGGACTACTTAGTGACGGATTTGGTGCCACACATGGAATGATGAGGAACAATCTCATATGGGTTGTTTCAAGAATGCAAGTTCAAGTTGATCAGTATCCAATCTGGTAAGTCAAAAATATTAGTCTTCATGTTCTTGCACCACCATTAAAGAGACTATTTGTAGTATACAATCAAAACATAAAAAGGCCCCAAATTTGACAAGCCTTGGAAAATTAGAAATACAACAGCTACTTTTTCTCAACCTTTAAATTAAATTTTTTCATTTCCTAGAATGAATCCATTCTAATCTGCAGCAATTACATGTGCTTGTATTCTGCAGGGGAGAGATAGTAGAAATCGACACGTGGGTTGGAGCGTCAGGGAAGAATGGAATGCGGAGAGACTGGCTAATCCGAAGTCAAGCCACGGGCCATGTATTGGCACGTGCAACCAGGTAATTTTTATTGAAAGAAAGTTCCTCACTTTTTCGTTTGATCACTAGCATTGCTTTAGTTTTGTCACCATTCATGCTTATGCTAAAATATGGAACAGTATCTGGGTCATGATGAACCGGAAAACGAGGCGCCTCTCAAAGATTCCAGAAGAGGTGAGGGCTGAGATTTCGCCTTGGCTTATTGAGAAGCAAGCCATCAAAGAAGATGTCCCTGAGAAAATCGTCAAGTTGGATGATAAAGCAAAGTATATGAACGATGACTTGAAGGTAAAAACCATCATAATCAAACTTCCAACAGCTAAATCCGTCTATGTACAAATAATAATAGAATATAGCATATGCTGACCAATTCAAGCTTATGTTTTGTAGCCCAAGAGAAGTGACTTGGACATGAACCACCATGTGAACAATGTAAAGTATTTAAGATGGATGCTAGAGGTGAAAAAACAAATAAAACCATAAAACTCTTAATTCTTTAGTATGTTTTTTACCCTTTAAAATCACTCTTATCTAATTATTATCTCCATTTCTTTTTACAGACCATACCAGACCGTATTTTGGAGTCTCACCAACTATCCGAAATCACCCTAGAATATCGAAGGGAATGTGGGAGTTCGGATATAGTTCAATCACTTTGTCAACCAGATGAAGATGAGATACTCAACAATGGAGTGAGCCAAGATATAAATGATATCACCATACTGAATGGATTTTCTTTGGCCACTGAGATTATGAAGGGAAATGGACTTTTGGGGTCCTTTGAGAAAAGGCCATTGAGGTATACACATCTCCTCCAAACCAAAGAGGAGTCCAAAAATGAAGAGATTGTTAGAGGAAGGACTGTATGGAAGAAAAAAATTCCCACAATGCTATTTTCTACCTAGCAAGAAACAAGATTTTAGATTCAAGGACCACCATTTTACATTCTCGACCGAAATTCGGGTTGCCTTGAAATTATCAGAAAAAACGACACTCCCTGCACTCCAATGGTGAAAGAAGATCCTAATAAAGTATGTCAAAGGTATAATGAAGATGAGTACTCAAAAGGGTACCAGAAAAGCACAACTGAAATTTTGAGTGCTTTTACCAAGTGAAATAACTAGTGTTATGATGTGTGTTGGTGAATTGATTGTGAGAGGAAACTGGCTATAGGTCAGTTACCAAAAGGGGGTCACTTAGAAAAAGGAAAAGGTTGTGATTGCCCTGTCTGAGTGAGTCTCATTGTGGTAAAAGAATTATTTGGTGTAAGTAATAACAATCATACAGCTATTCAATCTGTCAAATAAAATATGTTGTACAACATGGAGAAAGATCATATGCAAATGAACCGCAACTCATTCACAGATTGAACATGATTAAACCAAGGAAAACTTTCTGGCCTTAGAAAGAAGGAACTGAGACTAAACTTTATAAGACAATAGTATAAGAACATTCTGCATGGCATACAAAGTAGTTAAAACTATCCATAGTGTATATTTTTAAACAAAAAAACTTTTAGTTGTAAATACTATTTAATTTAAACATAATGCTGATTTGATCTATCATTACTACTAAAATCTCAACTTCTCAAGCTTCCACTAAACCTTTTCCAAAACAAAAAAGTTGTTGGGCTCTGTAACATATTAGAGTCTACCCCACATGAAGGTAGCAAGGTTCGTGTGTGCCTATGAGATGTGGGTCCCACCCCAATGAGAGAGAGTCGAGTGGAACTAGGTTCCTAGATGCCATTAACTCCGCTCCACATATATGGCTTTCGAAATTGAGAACCACATTATTTTTTTTTTAGAAACAACTGAATAGAATCGCTCTTCCTAAAATAATGCACAATGTCTCAGCGACAATTATTCACTAGGCTTTAGAAAGAGACGTGACACTTGCACTCACCTAAGAAATAGACCTATATATATGTGTGTGTGTGTATGGGTAGCTCCCACAAGTAAGTGGACACTATTTGCATTTGAAGTGAAGCGATGCTGAAAGAATTTGATTGAAACAAATGGCCGACAATTATAAGGGTGTGATGGGACAACAAAAGCCCGCATGTGTACACACACATGCAACTGCACAAAGAAACAGCTGCAGAGAGAGAGAGAGAGAGGGACAAAGAGGCAATGAATTGTGAAGTTTTGGGAGATACATTTGGCTTTGCCTTGTCTTGCCACTTGCCAGGCATGTCATATCTGATAGCCTTCATGATTTACTTTTGTAGTCTCTCTAGGCGTCTTAATGCTCTGCCCGCCGTCCCCATTTCACTGTCTGCTTGGTCTCCTGATCCAACTCAAACTTTGACAGTGACCCTCTAATTAATTAAACCAGAAAAATTTAAATATATACGAAAATAAGGGCACCAAACTTACATTTTTAAAAAAAATTATTATCATCAGTGTTTTTTAATTTTAAGGTTATTTTTAATTTACTTTTTAAATTTTAAAAATTTTTATTTTATCTATTAAATTTTAAATTATTCTCACTTAAATTTTTACTGTTGTAATTTTTATTAAAATCAAATAGAAAAAAAGTAGGCTAAGTATTGTAATGTAGTTCTTATATTTTTGTTTCTAACAAAAATATCACCCGATTACATTACTTTTTTTTTTCTATCAGTTTCTAACAAAAATTACAATAAAATGGGTTAAGTGAGAATAATTCAAAGTTCATAGGATATAGTGAGAATTTTTAAAGTTCATAAATAAACTGAGAATGACTCTAAAATTCAAAGAGTACTAGTGATAATAATTTTTTTTTTTAATGAGTGAAATTTTTTTAATTTATTGTCCCTTCTCATTGAAATTTAGTCAGAGTTGTAAAATGAGATGGTATGGTTAATTTCTTTGAAAGCAAAAGTTGAAGAGCTTAGGATCCGTTTGGTTAGAGAAATAAAGAGTATGAATGATAGAGAGAGAGAGTTTGAGGAATAGAGATAGGAAATAAGAAAAGAATAATAGTAATCTTTTATATTGTTTGATATGATATGATGGATGAAAAATTGAAATAAATCAATGATAAATATAGTTATTTATTAAATTACTATATTATCCATTTAAATTATTTGTTAACAATTTGTTTAGGGGACAAAAGAATCTTTTTAATATCTAACTTGATGAATTATTTGAATACTTCTATTAATAAAATGATCCATGAGAAAGAGAAAAAGAGCACGTCCCTCCACCTCTCATCTCTCTCCACCAAATGATTAACCCTCTCCCTCTCCACTCCTCTCCATGCCTCCATCTCTCACTCCAACCAAACACACTAAATAACAAAATAAGATTCAAGCAAATTTTTATGTGTTAAATAAGATTTTACACTCTCTCTCGTATCAAGTTACTCAATTCCGGCAATTTTAGTTACAGAGGACAAAATCGGACGGTTTGGAAAATTTAGAGGATGGAATGAGACTTTTTTTAGTTCAAGGATTGGAGCAAAAGGTAAGATTTACATCAGTTCAATACAAATATCGATACCAATATTATAATTAGCATAGAAATGAGTTTAAGCAATTCATTTACACCAACATATAATATATTAGAAAAAAATGGAAAATACCCTTTTATAATAGTTATCTTCGTGTTATTGACCTCTTAATCATAAGTGTCGTTTTATCAAAATTGATCAACTCAAATACATTAAAAACAAAAGGGGCAATGATGAACGCAAGTTTATCCTTAATTCTATCAGGATAAAAATTTGACGACGCTGGATTAGATTTGTCCTTAATTCTATAATTTACGCTTTAATTGCATTTCAAATACCAAATACGCTCTGTAGTTCCGCTACAAAGTAGCAATGGTTAATGCTGTATTAATGGCAATTCAGTGGCAATGCATAATCAATTTCTGAATCTAGCGTTAATCTGAATTTGGCGAGAAGCAACAAATAATTATCAAATGCTTTCAAAAGAGAGAAAAAATCTTCCAAGTGAACAGTCAGAGAGTCACCAGTCACGTGGCACAAATTAGTCTTAACCAATTTATGTTGTGAAATGCAATATGAGGCGTTAACCAACGTCTAGACTATGAGCCAAAAAATAAAAGGTGAAATTAACAATAACCTTGTGTGGTAAATATTAACTAAAAGCCAGTAAAGAAAAATAACTTCAACTACATATAATTGATTCTCTCTTCTTCTTTTTTTTCCCCTTTATAAACCACAGAATAAAACTGGGACAATTAGAAATTAAAAGCTGGAAATTTAAAAGTGGAAAAAATTTGCCAGTAATGGTGGCAACCCGTAACTCATGAGCCTTCCAGTAGAAGCATTTCCCACTACCCAACAAGAAAGAATTAACGATATTCTCTGCTCAAGAAAACTGTGATCCACTAATCTAAGAAAATATGGATTTACAATTTTTTAAAAAAAGAGGATCAGTATTTACATGGAAGGATAAACTTCAAGGAAAGGTAGGAATCAAAGAATGATGTAGAGAAGTAGTGCAGTATCATTGCCTCTTTCTCACTAAACTTCGATGAGATTGCCACGACCAAACAATGAGGAATAGTACGAGGAATGCTCCGACGGATGTCCAAAAGGTTACCAGCCATAATGGCATAGGTTTAGGATACAATCCTGGCAGAATCGAGAGGAAAAGCGCTATTTAAGTCGGTATAAAATACAAAGTTGTTGATAATCGAGATCGTATAATTAAACCTGTTTAAAAAAAAAAAAAAAAAAAAAAAAAAAAACATACCGTGTCCAAACTTGATGCAAATGAGAAGTTCAACGATGCAAATAGCAATGGAAAGCCAACAAAATGCGCCGACCTTCTTGACCGGTTTTCTGTAAGATTAACGGTGATATAAAACACATGGGAAAAGAAGGCCAAGAGGTACACACATGATTTTGTCAGGGGGAGTGAGAAAGAGAGAGTACCGGTCCTGAAGGTATGAATTGTACTCGCGAATTGTCGGAATTGCAATTAGCCACCACAATATCAACCTATAGACGATAACAGGGTTTCGGGGAGGAATCCACAGACAAAACTTGAGAAAGAATGTGTTAAGCTCTACTGTAAGGAACACAATGCAAAGGCAAAGAACTTGAATGAAACGCCATGGACCAAGCAGGGGATGCCACTCATCTTTATCCCACTGAGCTGGCGTAAATTGTTCTAATGTCCTTTTGACCTGAATCAGTCATCTTAAAAATCAACGCAGTTTCAATAGCAAGACTCGGAAAACAAAATACAAGGGGGGGAAAAAGGTTTTCTCCCGCAGAAAGGTCAGGCATGGGGAATAAGCTTTCTACTCCAAACTTTACAATGCAATTTTGAACATCTTGCCAAAACCGTCTATCAACTATTTGAAATTAAATGTATAGTCAAAAGCATACTTTTCCGATGATATTAGGCTGACGGCTTATCCCGACCCACTTGTATGTTTTTCCATCAAAGTATCTAACAGTATGCATTCCTGCCCAGATACCTGCAGAATATACAACAAAAGAAACTTGTTCAGAGGGCTCCCCAGTTTCCAAATGAAAAGTATTTAAAATCAACGAAATTACTACTTTATTTCACTTTACAGTATAACACGATAAAGATGTTGAGAACGTCCTAATTTAAGATCTAGATATTATAGCTAAAGATAGAACTCAACCATAACAAGCCAAAATTTTTAAAAATTAAAAGTTCTTACCAAACCAATTGCAGATCAAAATATCAAGAATAATACTGTCCCACCAACATTCGTTGAAATTTGGTAACATGTGGCGGAAGGTAAGCTGAAATGCCGAAATAAGCTTTAGTTTACAATCAATATGGCCACTTGAGCATAGAAATTATGCACGTGTTAGAAATATAAAGATAGACAAGGAGAGAGAGAGAATGGAACTAAGTTAAGTGAACTAAGTTAAGCTGAATACGAGAAGGGAAATGTACTAAGTTATGTCAAGGAAATAACCTCCATCAACTCAAATCCAATTGATAGAACCCAAAGAAGAGGCTGATTACGGATCAATATAGCTTTTCCCCACCATCCAATAATATGAGCTAAAACAAATTCATCAAAAAGTGTTTCCTAAACAGAGGGGAAAAGTAAAATTAGAAGATCGCTTCACTCCGCGAAGAACATAAAATAAGAAAATGTTAACTGGTAGATAGGTTCACAAAGAAGAAATCATACATAAACATTCTTAAACCTGCTTGTAGGATTTTCAGGGAGATATATGCGGCAATCTGCTCCATAGGATCTTTCTGGAAGTTCTGCACGTAATCATACAATAGACAGAGATTTAAGAAAGTTCCAAGAGATATATAGCCAATATAAGCTATTTCTTACAGCTCATGCAATGGTTGAAAACAGAGAAAATTCATAAGCCAATTAACAGTTTGGAATCAAGAACTGCATTACCAACACCAAGATCTGGATGGAGAAACTTCATAAACTGCCTAGCATCATCTCGCTTCTGGAAAGTGAGAAATTGAAAAGTTACCATGACATGAAAGTGACGCAGTAGAATAATAAATGAAACTTAAGAAGGCAAAAAGTGATAACAACTTGAGAGGAGACTCTAGAAAAAATTCAAAAGATAGTGTATACTCAAAACAGATTTTCTTTTTCTTTTTTTAGGAAAAACAAAACGAGTAGCAAAGCCAATCTAAAGACAAAGGAAGCAGAGAAACCAACCTGAAAAAGCAAAAATGTGAGAGAAACAAGGTAAACAACAGCCATTCCATGAACTAAGCGCCAAATTGCCGGATGTGGCCGAATCAGAACCCTGTATGAAGTTCCACATCAGCAAACAGTAACAACAGGCTCGATCAAATACTACAAGAAACTTCAGGAAAAACATGACTGGTATTTTGCAGAACACATTCATTTTAAAACGGAACAAAAACCAAATAACACGTGATCCAAACAAGACAATCTCCCCTTTCTTTACAAGCAAAAATATGCTGGAAATCCAGCTGCATATAAACCATTTTTATCGGCATAGCTTCAACTTGCTACAGAGAAGGTGACTAGCAGCCAAAAGACTTTCAAAACAAAGGCATTTCAGGTTCTGATATCACTCACTCTTCGTGTTTAAATTAGATAGAAATGCTAATTAAACAAGTATCTACGGACTCCCAAGTCCAAAGGTCAAAAGGAGACAGAAAGGAAAGTTTAAGGAAAAGTATCCGCTTTCACCTCACAAAAATCACAACGCAACTTAAAAGCAATGCATTTAAGTCTAAGAAAAAAGATATAAAAAAGAAATAAATTGACAAGAGTCCAAAAGGTAATTGTAAAACAATAAATGTTCACAACAAATGTAGCCGAGCACTTACGAAGAAGGGGCTTGCAGCAAGCAATAAGCAAGAAAAACTGCAATCATTGCCCATACGCCCCTACAAGAAACAAGTGTTAAGAAAATTCTACTTGAGAAAAAATTCTACAAAGATATTGCACAAAGACAGGTATATACAATAAATAAGAACCTACCTTTTCACTGATGTAACAAGATCTCCAGATACAGTACTTTCAGGATCCAGTGCCCCACTTGCCCATCTGGTAAATGCATCCAGGGAAAAAAAAAAGAAAAAAGAAAAAAAAAGAGCAAATATTATTTGATGCAATACACTAATCATTGTGTCAAAGCAGCAGCATGGTAATATAAGCTCATCTAAGGCACGTTTATCTTTCATAATTCCACTTTCATATCCTACAAAATGGACAAATTTTATAAAACCGCTTCTTTTCTCTGATATATTGACAGACTCAAAAACGATTAGACAAAATGCACAAAATTCTCTTGACCACATGGAGATTCAAAGAAAGGAGAACAAAGAACAACCTGAAAAGGATGACAGAATCTTCTTCAACCATCCTTTCCTAATCTAGTACAAGTTGTCACCCAAGATAAAAGTTTGCAAACTTTAAGGAAGCAAGCAAATATGGAGAACTGATTACCTCATCATTTTCCTGCTATAGAAATTCTATCTATCAGATTCTAGATAGTCGTAGCTTAATAATATCCACAAGAAGAAACATCATTTTGTTTTAAGACCCAAAGATGGCGAAAACAAAACCCAATGCTAAGAGAAACAAGTAAAAAACAGTAATTAAAGCAAAATACAAATAAATAAATGAAGGAGAAATTCAAAGTGATTCTCCTACCCAGAAAGAGCCACTCTCTCAATATAAAATGATTGTGAATTCCCTTTAAAGATTCATATGAATCTGGAGGGACTACATACATGATTCTGAGTTAAATGACTTAAGCAAGGATTGCAGGAAATGTAAAGCTGAGGCAAGTCACAAACTTCCCATCCAGATTGCAAAAAATGAAGCTGAAAGTTAACAGTTAATTAAGCGCCTATGATCAATGTTAATATTCTGAAGATGAATTGCAATATTGGTTACTAATAAAGAATTGCATAATTGCTAAAACCATCTATATAGGACTTCAAAGTTGGCAGAACCCTCACATAAGAAAACATGCGCCAACAAGTAACATTGAAATGGTCCGAGGCTTGTATGCCCATGCCGTCCATGGATCAAGGTCATCTCCAACACTAGAGTGAATGACATCACCATTTTCTTGACCATGATGATCATTTCTTCTTAATCTCCTATGACCATTAGGCCGCTCCATCAGTCGTCAAACTGTCAGAAAATTATAACCTGCTCACTGCAAACCATAAAATACAAAATAAAAAAAGGTGAACCTGGCGTCAATGGAGGAATCAAAACTCATAATAAATAAGTGGGAAAAAAATCAGTGGATATATGCTCAGCTCATGAAATTGAGAAAACAAAAACCAGAAAGAAAGTTGTGATAATTTCTTCAAATATCATGGCCCCATTTTTGAGCTAACAGCACTCGATTACTTTCACCGATCACAGCTACATTCCATGCTTACAATATAATACCACTAAGGCCTACATGTTTGACACATTTCTTCCATTAAAATTGAAAATTAGTCAGCCATAAATCGAAACAAGGTCGCCCGACAGAGAGGTACCGTCCCTACATGTTGTACTAAGATTCATGGTAATATCCAACACCGTTCTCTATAAAGGAGCAACCCACTTCCACACTAAATTCCACGATCCCCACATATTGTCTTGGTGGCATTTCACATCATTCTCTATAAAGTAAGAAAACCCCCCTTCCACACAAAATTCCACAATGAAAAATGATTTCATATGATCCAAATTGATATTCCCAAGTAAAATATTTCAAGGCCAACAAACGATCAAAAGAAAAAGAATTTAATGGTGGGGTATTTAAATAAAAATACACTATTGTATGGACACAATTTTTAACCGTTAGATCACCTCAAAATTATATCAAATTAACAAAGCTACAAGAATTTAACAGAACTTCATAAAGATCTAACAATTAAAACTATGTCTTACCAGTAGAGTATTTTTTATACTCTACCACAAAATTCCTCAATATCCCTAAACTCAGCCAAGATTAAATTCACCCTCTTTTAAAACCTGTCCAACTTAAAAACATCCTAGTTTACATTCCATTCCACACCATAGATGAAAAATTCCAAATAGATAACCAAACTTTCATGCTTAAACGGGAAAGCACATTAATAATTTCAGGTCAAGTGTCAATAAAACCAACACTTTACTCACCTAGATAACTCACTCAGTTATTTATCTAGACTTATCTCTCTTCTAGTTGTTAAGTCTCTTACTCTAGAAAAAACGCCACCTTACTAATAAAAAGCAGTCAAATGAGTAAATTCACAACCCAATGTAGTAAATTTGGATCACTTGTTGATGAAGAAGATTGTCCTAACCAATAAATTAATCACAATTAAACACCCACCAAACTGGTATCAAATTAAAGCACATGCAAAAGCACAAAAACCCAAATACATCTATAATCCAAATTCCATTAAATAACAACCCACTAAACTTTTACAAAAATTAGCAAAACTTTAAAACCTATCTAGAAACAAGAAACCAAATAGAAAAGCATTACATATACACACATGAATTAATGATGGAAAAAGGAAAATAGATTAAATTAAACCAAGTTGAAGCAAATTAAATCAAAGTAAATCTCACGTTAATGATCATTAAATCAGAAAACAACCCACCAAGAAGTCATGGTTGCAATTCGAAGTGAAAACCTTGCATGTGTGAAAAAACAAATGGGTAATACATATGAAGACGCTAATGACAATTAGCAATACTAATTAATCATGATTTGGAAAACCAAAACACTAGGGAAAAAAAGTAAGAAATGACGCTTTTATAATTTGCAATGAATGAAATAAAATGAAATTAAAAAAAAAAGAGAGAATAAATACGTACAGACCAACACGATTCTCAGATTCATACATATATATATATATATATGTATGCTTGCGTGTGCGTGTGCGTGTGCGTGTGTAGAGAGAGAAAGTGATAGAGAGAGAGAGAGAGGAGTATAGAAAAAAGCTATGTATTTCAGCGAGAGAGAGATGTAGATATATACTTACGTAAGGATGAAGGAGAGAGAAGTGGGACAGACAAAGTAGTCGTAGGCGTACGATTGGAGGGACCAAGAGATCCTCAGCCGTCGGATCAGACAAAATTCCAATTAACCGAACGAACCACAGCGACGGCGACGGCGATGACGATAACTTAACCGGTTTATCAATGGCGAAGAACAACAAACGATGAAAAAGGAGAAGATACTAGAATATATATATATATGATTGGAAAGAGAAAACTTTTGATCCTTTTGTGAATCGGATTGAAATAGTATTTGGAGCGACGAAAAGATAAGAAAAAGGAAAGGAAAAAATTAAGAGAGAGAGGTTTCGGTTTCTCTCTCTTCAGTTTCTCTTTCTTCTGCGCAGATAGATGGAGAGAGAAAGAGCCCCTCTCTCTCTCTCTCTCTCTCTCTCGCTCTGCAACAGCGGCGAAAAGGCAAAGGATGACTATGATGAGAAAAATGTATTAGCTGTATATATATATATTTATATATGCGTGTGTGTGAGTTTATATGACATAAAAGGCAGAGGAGAGAGAAAGAAAGAGACAGAGAGAGAGTACGACGGTCAAAGAGAGATTTGAAGATGTTTTTTAAGATACGGTCCAAACTCCAAATTGAGAGTGTCTATTTATTAGGCACCGTTTAATTCATTTATTTAAAATTTTAATTTAAATTAAGTGTTTATTTATTAGGCAATGTTTAATTCATTTATTTAAATTTTTAATTTAAATTAAAATATAATTTTATGTGATAATTTTTTATTTTAATAAAAAAATTAAATGAGAGTCTTTTATTATAATAAAATTTGAATCGATAAAATAAATGAGATCTTAATTTGTAATAAATAAATATATTTATTATTTTTTTTAAAATACAAATGAACATCTTTATTAACTTTCTCAAAAAATTAATTCTGTAGCAAATAATATATAAAGCTGTAATTATTAAAAAAACTTGTAATAAAAAGAAACATGAATTTAAACTTAAGAAAAAAAAAAGAAACAAGAAAAAATAACACACATATGTATACATTTAACTAAGGGAGATCTTAAAAAAGAAAAAACACACACACTATAAGACAGGTGGATCATTGGAGGGAAAAGAAAAGAAAGGAAGTTAGAAAATACTTTCATTTGATGGAAGTAGGAAGGAAAGGAATTTTTTGTTATCTTCCGAAAGTCCCCCTTAATCTACTTTTATTTGCATGTATACTTCTCCTTTCTTTCCTCTTGATTTCACTCTTTTGTCCTTTTATGGTTTTTTAGGAGCCTTTTATGGTTTTATTTTACTTTTTTTTTTCTTTTTTTATTGGTAGTTTAAGTGGGTAAACGTGTTCTAGAAAAACCATCTATCACTCCACTCATATTTTGCCATAGTTTGAGCTAGTGATTGACCTTTGAATTGGAGGAAAAGAATACAGTAAATAATAGATTTTTAAAATTAAATTAAATAAATAATAAATAATAAATTTATTTAAAATAAATAATATTTTACGTGGTAAATAAATTGTGCATTTGTGATTAGTAAAAATATTTTTTTAAGTAAATTTTCTTTTTATGACTTGTGAAAAGAATTTTTTTCATATAAATAGAGATTTTTTAAGAATTTTTATAACTATTCATAAATGAATCATTTATACGGTAAATGATTTATTTACTACGTAAATTGTTATTTACTTAAAATATTTTTAAATATCTATTATTTACTTAATTTAGTTTTAAAAATCTGTTATTTATTATAATTTCTTGAAAATTTATTAAAAGAGAGAATTGTTGAGCTTATTTAAAGAGATGCTTATCTCATTTTCCTTTATTAAAACTTAATCAACGATTGAATTATGCCCTTTATGCATATTTGAATGTTTTATACATGCAGCCGATGCTTATTTTTCTTTTAAATTTTATAGGTAATTTTTGTTTGTTTGTTAAGATGGTAGAGTGATAATACTAGTATGTACGAGCGTAAGTTCATTCTTACTAAGTTCATTCTTACTATTACACTTAATTGAGGTACGTGGGATGCGATGCACATATTAATTTATAATTAAAGTGTTCATAGTATTGATAATAAATAAAAAGAATGAATACAAAAAAAGCAAAAGGAAAAAGATTTATTTACGCAAATAATCTTTAAAGTATATGCATTTGTTTTATTTTGATCACCGACATTTATATTTTAAGGTCTAGCTATTCTGAAGTTTGTGAAATATACAATTTTGATAACAAATTGACAATATTTTAAATAAAATGTAGCACAAATAAAGTATTGTAGGTTAGTGTTTTACAAGGGATAAAATCGTGAAGGAAACAAATAAATCCAAAATATATTCTAAAAATAAAACGAAAAATTGATCTGGTGATACAATTTGATTTTCTTTTCAGATTTTTTTTTTAAACTTTTCTTTTATTACTTTATCTTTTTAAAACCCTCACATGTGATTATTGTGTTAGATTTTATCTAAAAATAAACACTTTATTAACTAAGAAGTCAAAACTGTATATTTCATTAGCAAGTAAAAATTTGATTTAGTTCTTCTTAGAGAAACACAAAAACACAAACAACATACACATTTGACTATGAAAGGAATGAAAGAAACTAGCCACAATAAAAGTTAAAATTAATCATAATTAAAGAAATTATTCTGGTGAGAAAGTTGATATTACAAATTTAAGAAAATTATAAAAAAAAATGGCGATAAAGTTTAAATGGAGAGAAAATTAAAGAATAAAAAAGAAAAAAGTTAAATATAAGATTAGAGGTAAAAACATTATGGTATGCAAATGTAGAAAAAAAAAGTAAGGCACCAAAAAAAGAGAGAAAGAGAAAAAAAAAACAACTGAAGTACCAAAAAAGAAAAAAAAAAGTAATAACAAAAAAGAGTAAAGCACCACTTGTAATACAAACGGTGGACAAATGGAGTTAAAAATGGAAGAATAAATGTAAAAAAAGGAAAACGATGGAATTATAAATAAATAAATAAATAAAGAAGAAGAAAGATTTAACCGGTTCTAGGGTAAGAGATTGTTGTAGATAAATGGAGAAAAAGAAAAAAGAAAAAAAAAGGTAGAGAAAAATAAAGAGGGAAAAAAGGTATAAAAAATTAGTAAAAGGAAAGATAAGAAAAAAAGGTGAAAAAAATGCCAAACACCAAAACGGTACGCATTTGACAACCAAAGCTGTAAGGGTGTGTGACATACTATTTAAATAATTCAAAACCAACTAAACCAAACCAATTCGGTTTTTATCTATATAATTTTTTTAAAATTATATATATTTTATATATCTATAACTTATTTATATTAAAAAAAATCTTTTATTTCAAAATTAAATAATTTATAACCCTAGAAGTTTTTATAATAACCTATATTTATAGAACTAACATTATCTCCACAGCTTACCCTCAAGCTCTTTTCGCTCATCTACTCTCATTCTCCACTCCTCTAAGTTCTGGTCATGTTTCTCTTTAAAGCCTTGCTTCTTTGTTAACGTGAATGTTGTCTCTGTAATAATAAGTGTCTCTAAGTTGTTTATACTCGTTTTCTTTCATATATTTAGAAAAATTGAATATCATTTTCAATCATGAGTCACAAAATATTATATAAATATCTATAATTTAATTGCTTTGACTTCATTTTATCTTTAGAAAAAAGAGAGAGACAAGAGCGCACAAAATATTAGTGCTAGCTACGGTTGAAACTTGAGAAGATGTTGTAAAATATTAGTTCAAACCAATTAAAAAAACCAAACCAAATCAATTAAAATCAGTTTGGTTTAGATTAGATTAGATTCCTTAATTAGTTTGGTTTGAAAATCTCTAAACTAATTTGTAATTAGCTTAGTTTACATTTCACCTAAAATAAATGGTTTGGTTGGTTTACACACCCCTAATGAATCTTTATCGACCTTTTTGTATATTTAAGATTAGGATTAGGATTACGATTTAGAATTTAAAATATATTGTGGGTACACATATATACACACTTAGTGGGAGAGCCACATTAAATTAAATGCCCTCATTGAAAATTGAAATATGTTATCATACCCATTTTTTTTTTTTTAAAATAATCATGTTCCCACTTAATAATAAAAAATATATAACCATATTTCTATTTAATAAAATACTACTTTTAATTTTGTTTCATAGTCCTCTAACAGAACAAAAGTGGAGTTTTTCTATTACATAGTGTTTTGAAAACATAATTTATGATATCTCTAAATTTCCTTCCATATTGTTTAATCAGATCTAGGCCACCAATTATGTGACTCTTGATAGTCATAACATGTTGCACGTGATATGCTAAGTTAATGCGCTATCAACTATCAACTTTTCATCAAATTAAGCAGAAAGAAGTTTGCAACTTTATATCATTTTATCTCCATTAATATGATATATACATACATAAACATCATCAATATTGTCTCCATAGAACCTTTTTTAAATTCAACTAATTATTAAAGATATATTAATCATCTAATCTAACAATATATAAAAGTATATATCTCTCGTTCCTTGGGGAACAACCAATAAGTACTAGCTAGTTCCTCATAAAACACATTCATAATTCAAATAGTACAATATTAAAAAGACAAAATAAATATAGGTGTACACAAATTGTGATGTATCAATTTATCAATAAATTCTCTTTTTAAAGACAAGTAGATAACAATTTCATTTTGTGCGTTGTTAAAATGTCTTCATATGTAATGCCAAAAAAAAGTCTTCATATGAAAATCTAAAAAACAACAACTCAATCAAACATTATTTACAATAAAGTAATGTGATATAAAAGTTAAGATGCCTACTATTACTGAATCAGCTAAAAAGTACATATTTTCATAAAAAAAGACATTAGATACCGCGAGTAGAGAACGGATATGTAGGTTAAAAAAAAAAGGTGGTAGAGATATGAGTTTATGAGATTTTTCTCCAGTGAGAGTTGTAAAAATAAACCACGTGTAAGTGGTTATTTTTTAACTATCTCAAATCTATATTAAAAATTATTTATTTTACATATTATTTTATTTTAATGTGATTTTAATTAGATTCAACACTAAAAAAATATATATTATTATAAGAGGTCATATACGATAAGGAAAAAATAATAATAATTAGTGAATTTAATTTTGGAGCACAGAACAGAAAACCTGCCAAATTGTTGGTGCCAAAAAAGCAAATAACAAAAGGACCATTAATTGACCAAACATGATGATTAGAGGACATAACTGAGTGTCCCAGCAGTACTACAACCTCTTTCAAAGGGTCTCTACCCTCTACGTTTTCAATGCTCATGCATGTGATCCAAACGGGGATGTAGGCCTCCTGTATAGTGCCATAATAATATA